ACTTATGTGCCAACCCAATATTTTTGGGAGACAAAAAGGGTTTGAAATTCAAGGAACATCTTGCTAGCATAAGACGCGGTACTCTTACAAGTGCTGTCGGAAGGCATAGGGTTGTGGAACATAATGGCATTGAATTTAGAATAAATTGCACTGTGCTGAGACAGATCTTTCAGATAGAAGGGCGTCAGAGGCATTCTGGATATTCACAAAAAAAAACAAGAATGAACAAACGAGATGAATGTCCTTCCGTCACAAGTGACCTACTACCGTTTAGACCCCACTGTAAACGGCGAAAGAAGTTCTTAGCACGATATTCGTGAATATGCCAAGAACATTCCTGCTGGTCTTATCAGAAAGCTGGGTGCTTCCCATCGCTGATGCCTGTGTCGTTTCATGAAGATATAGTACTATATAAAATAAAAAAATTCTACGAAGCCGTACTACAAACCGTATGCGGGTGATTTTGACTCCATGTAAATAGACTTATAAATAATGATATTATTGCTCCGTAAGTGGCTGTGGAATGGGTTGCTCTAGACGCAGAATGAGCCGAAGACTAACCGGAAATAGAGGCCATCTCAGACAAACAATTTGTTTTTTGGGACGCGGATGGAACAGTTGTACCAAACCGCGCACAGAGAAAGCCTCTGTCCCTCTCTTTGCTTGATGTTTATAGCAGAACAAACGAAAAAAAAACAGCAATCAGTTCCAAACAAACTATGCTGGTGACTGTAGCGGACTGCAGTGACTGTAGCGGACTGCAATATTGTGCAATCTATCCAGAACAAAATTTACTGCTTCCGTGGCCGTGTGTACGTCACTTGTGGTGTGCCTCTGCAATCTTGGTGTGGTTCATTTCATGTGAGTGTCACAATAGTATGTTTGAGAATACCGTGACACTTCAGATTACTTCACTTAGTGAGTACGCTCTTACATGTGACATCTGTAGTGTGGGGGTGTGTGCATTGTTTTTTATAAGCAGCGGGTGGTGGTTTGGTGAGGATGGTGTAGAGCCGGGAAGTGGTTGAGCCGGGAACCGTGTCAACCATGTGCAGAGCCTGGCGTAGGGGTGCGAAACTGTGGTGGGGTAAGAACAACAATAGGTTTTCATATTGTCTACGAATAGGACGACGGTTGTGAGAGAGGGCCGGGAGTTCAGCTTCATTTCTTAGTCTGGTAATAACGAAGACAAGCAACATCTCGGATGTAAAGGGGGGGCGGGGGGGGCGTGGGGGGGTCATTGATGAACCCTCGAATATAGCCGTAATGTGCGGCACGGAAGATCCATGCCCATGGGGGGCTACCACACAGAAGGAGGACTGGGCGTAGGAAGCCGAGTGGGTGATAAAAGAGGAGGAGAAAATTGGTGGTGTGGTAGCAGTGATGTTGTGAGCTGTGTTGCGGGATGGCTGACCAGAGGAAAGGAACAAAGGGGGTGGTTCAGGTGCGGGCCAATTTGCGGTGGGTGCACGTTGTACGGTCCGGGTCTAAGCAGGTGAACTCAAAACCTACCTTGCGGGAGGAGGTTGTTGGGGTCCGATGACTGGAGCGTGTAACGGAGTATGGAGGGTTTGAGTGCGTGATGGTGGGTGGTGGCTGGAATTGGTGTGAAGTCAAGTGAACAAGGTGTGGGGAGGCGCTCTACATGTATGCGGGGAAGAGGGGCATTCGATATGGTGACAGTAGCGGGATTAGGGTGCAAACAAGTAGCGAGCTTGTTCTGCAGGAGAGGTCTTGGGATCAGTTCCGTAAGCCCGCGGACTTTAGCAGTCTTCAAGAACATGGCCCACAAAGCTCCTAACATCTCTGCTCGCCTGCACTAGCCTTAAGGGAACTTGCAATCAGTTTTCTTTTTCGAAAGTGTAGTCTTGTCGTGACCTGAAAGAGTGTTTGTGCTTATCTCTCTCATAGCACATGTCAAAAGGGTTTTTCAACGAAATACCATGATATTCATGTTAAGCGGGTCGAACTGCCTCTGGAGACAAGTTTCTAGCCAAATCTGACATTTGGAATTAACTTGAAAGATGTGGGCTATTCTATGGGTAATAGGATCGCGCGCCTTCGGCGGGGGGCGATTCGCTTATGGGTGGTGATCCTCCAATCGGGCAGATTTTAAATTTTTTATTCGTGGCATCCGAATATGGGGCCGGGGTTTCAGTTTGGGTCTTTGGCGCCGGCTGCTGCGCGTGGCCGGGAATGTCGGTGAGGAGATTGCTTAGGCGGTGGGGAGGGACTGAAGTGGAAGTGAGTAGGTGAGTGTGGAGTCCAAGTTGTTGTAGAATAAGAAGGAAAATAGATGGACAACCAAATAAATGCCAAAGAGTGGGAGAGTAAGTTGGGAGGGAATTTTCGATGGATACTTGGATAGTTCACTGCCTATTCTCACTTTGCCTTGCGAGAGGTGAGTCATAAAGGCTTTTGGTCGGGAGCAGGAGCTGCGCGTTGCGAGCTCGGAGCACACCTCGTATCGCTGGAGTGTCGTCTTGGCAGGTGGGGAGGTTATACCTGTCGGTCCCGGCGGGGGGGAGGGGCTTAGAATGTGTTTGGGAATTGTTGTCCTAAGTTGCTGCAGCCTGCTGGGGCTGTGCTGTCGGGCACGGCCCCGCCGGTTTGTGGGCGGAGGGTGCGTATGTTTTGTTTTTTTTTTCATGTGGATGAGTGCTCATGGGGTAATGTGGGCGGGGATGCTATAACCATCCAGGTGGGCGTGGGGAGGTCCGTCCTCGAAAGTGGATTTCCACAATAGTCCCCGATTTTCGGGGGCGGGGGGGTGTGGGAGTGGTCAGCGGCAAAGACAATGGAGTAGGACTGAGTCTGGTGTGTTATAGGTCTATCGGCTGGGCGCCGGTTTTTGGGCATCTCTCCTTGGGGTGCGTGGTGGAGTGGGGGTTCGGCATGTGCGAAAGTAGCGTTCATCGCGCTTTCGCTGTCAGCGGGCGCGAGCTGATACGTACAGGGTGGGAGGGGGGATGTGTTTTTTCACAAAAAAATTAACACAAACAGCGGGGGTTAGCATTCGATTGGTATAACAATCCCCCATAGAATGCAGCCCACTGGAATTTGTATACAAATCGAGTCGATACAAGATGGGTCTCATCCAAACACTTTGCTCGCATCGCCTAACATGGCTGCATTAGAGAATGTTCCCCAGGTCCACTGTGTCTTCGGAGGCAATTTACGAACTGTTGTCGTTGGCACACTCCGGATGCAGGCCCCCCGTCGATTGTGGCGAGAGCTTAGCTTAGTTTGATGTGTATTGTCAGGATATATTCTTAACATGCCTCACCCCCATTCCAAAGTTGACGGCTCGTTTAAGACAAGTCCCCGTGCCGATCAAAGTGGCTTCGTGGTTCGCCTTTTGCTGTGCAAGTAGTCTAGCCTCCAAGCTAGAAGACTGTTCACCTTTCGCGACTCTATTGTGAGCGTGGAGGCTGCTATAGCCGCTCAAAGTGCTAGTTCTAACTCCTCCTCAGTCGGACCGCCTTTACTTGCTAGATGTCCTCCGACGGAGGCCACTCACTTGTTCTTAGTTGGGGCGGCGGGCATTGCTAATGCCCCTGGATAATTCTGCTCTCATTACAGTTTACTCATTGGAGGTATATACATTCAATTCAACCATTTCGCGAGGTGAAACGCGTAAAAAACACGAGTGACGCAATTTTCGTGATGCAAAACCACGACGCACAAAAGGTGCGCTACCGTAATCACAAATTCAGACACCGTGTTGATAAAATTCCTTTTTCCTTCCCAGAGTTTTTCCTCTGCGTTTTTGTTGTTTTCTTTTTGTATTCTTTTTTTGCACTGGATGATATCAACTACTGCGAGATGTGATAGAGAGATTTGTGAGCTAGGGGCTGCACAGAGACCGCAGGGAGGTGTAACTGTGAGGGAGCGATTTTGTTTATGTTGTTCTGGAGAACGCTTCTTGCCTGTTTTCTTCTTTGGGAGATTACTTATCAGCTACTGTTTCATAATTGGAAAGCAGCTATCCATGAGACTTTTATCGCGGGAGCTGTCTTTAAGCGTTTTGTTGACAACGTTTTCAAGAGACACCGCTCAGCTGATATAGGCCCCGCCCATTGTGGGCGGAGCCTATTCTCCTATTGGTCCGACAAACGGACAGACAACTTCTGCTTTATATATAGAGTATGATGATTGGCAGCAGGGTGGAGCTCACCTACCATCGATGAATGGTCTCGAGATTTAATTTCCTCCCGGTAATCAGGAAAATTATGAGCTCGAAGAACATATATCAAATGTAAATCAATGTAAAGCAATGTAAAGCATCAATCGCCATGAGATGAGAAAATGAAAAGGCACAATAATGTCAAGGCATGGAATGAGCAAGATCAGCAGTGCGCGTTCCTTTATTCAGGCCCCGCCATCTGGACAGCTTTTTGTCCCCCCTAGAGGAATTCACACGTGACCCGGGCGCGCTTGATTTTCTACAAAGGAATGCGCACAAGACCACAAGGATACTGTGTATGTAACTTCAAAGTAAAATCGCGTGAAGTCGCGATACTCCCCGGCGCCTCTCAGCGCTGGTCCCAGAACAGGCGCAGCTCCCTTTGCCAATAGTTCAACGTGTCCAGGGCCTCCCACCGCGCTTCACTCGCCTCACCGATTCTCCTTCGGATTTCGTCGCTTCTCTCCGGCAGATCGCAGAGGGCGGAGTGGTGGCCGACCTTCTGACAGTGGAAACATAGCGTCAAATATTTAGGGCAGTGCTCGTCCTGGGTGCAACGTTCTTCCAAGCAGTACCGACATTTGTCCTGCGCTAGAATCATCTCCCTGCGGTCGATCACGGCTGTGACCACTGCGCATGAGTCGGAGTAGTGCTGGCCTACGGCTCTGCAGAACGCACAGCGGCATGTTCGCTCTGAATGACGATTCAATTCTTGCCCATCCGCTGTCTCTGTGAGGAGTGCAAAGCATGCCTTGTTCATTAGCGCGGAGCCTGCCTTAGTATGTCATCCAGTTGAAGAGGGTCTGCTGCGCGCTTATTGATTTTTTTTTTTTTTCATTCTCATTCGCGCAAGTCGGACCTCGGGGGGCTCCACAGCCTCGGGCTCTTCTTCTTCCGGCTCTGCGCCAAGTTGCACGTTATTGTCGGCTACGTCTTCTTGCCTTTCCTCCTGAGCTGGTGGGCTTCCCTGCCTATCACCGTCATCTTCCTCGCCGGACTCCTCATCCTCCGCTAGTTCTGGTGGAGGGACTTCTTCTTCTTCTTCGGGGTCCATTTGCGCATCTTCCTCTTCCTTGATCCCCTCAGCGAACTCAGAGTTCTCTTTTACAATGCGCAACTCCCTATGCTCAAGGCCTCCGGGGCTCTCCGCCCGCGAGCTGTGCTCGCTGCTGCAGCAGCATCTTATGGAGAACTTCTTTCGAGTATCGATCACCGCGGCACGCGGATTTGCTTGCAGACGTTCTATTGCGGCCGCGCGATATTCCTTTTCGAAGACGGTCTCGTTTTCTAGCTCTTCCGTCAGGAAATTCCTGTAGAGATCATGGATAACTGTCCTGATGGAGGCTATGTTTTGCAGCTGGTCGCTCGCGAGCTTCTCGATCGTCTCCAGCTTTACCGGAAGGGTCTTCCCATCGTTTCCTTTATGGGGCGCATTGATGAGGAGGTCCCATTCCTGGTCGCTCATCCGGTCCGTCGCGACGAGTAGTGGAGGCACAGCATAAAGGGTTCGCAACTGGGATCTCACGTGGACAAACCTCGCACGCAAATAATCAGCATATAAATCAAGGTATTCGCTTCGTGCTTCCTATCAGAGAGAGATGCCTGTAAGGAACGAAGAGCTTTCAAGCGCGTCTCTAGTGTATCAACAGCAGAGATACAATCACGTAGTTCAAGAGCATGCCGAAAGATCGCTTCATGAAGATCTTCTTTACTTCGCGGAGGCGGCAGTGCTTCTAGGAGATCGCGCAGCTGTTCTTCTAGTGTGCATTCATTGTGCATGGTTCCATGTTCTGCAATAGTAGTCATAGTACATCGAACATGTGATAAATGTGATCGCATAGAAAAAATATATGTAGTGCTTCAAGGGTATGTGAAGTTAATTATTGCCTATAGATATGTGTATTTTTGATGGTACGAATTCTAGTGATAAGGATGTTTCTAAAATAATTTTCTACTTTGCTGAAGAAACGTCCTAACAGTTGAAGTTTAAGCGGTCTTTTTTGCCGTTTCTCGCCCTTTCGTTGGCCGGCATTTTATATTGTGGAGTAGAAAGCGTGAGGTGCGCACTGGTAGGGTGAGAATCGCCCCGAACACGCTCAAGGTGACATGACATTGAGCAGGCGCAGTCCCATAGTATTGACCAAGAGGTAGGTTATACCCAGAAACACTACTACTGCTAATGATGTTATAAGGAGGATCTTGTACCAGCCAAATATAATGTCCTTTATATGACCAAAATCTGGCCATTGAAAGTCGTTGTACACAGTAGTGTTGCCTTCCAGCAAAGAATATGTAGGATAATTGAAATAACTAACGTATTTCAAAACTCCACTCACCCTAAAGGTGTTCTTTACCTGGCCACATGTTATTGTGCATTCAAAAAGGTGGCGTGCTGAGTCCAAGTGGAAGTGTAGAGTTGTTTCAGGTCCTTCGGGGGCGCACGATACCACAAACGAATGATGCGCACAAAGAATTTCTCCAAAGGTGTCTTCTTCAGCAATGCAGCGCACAATTGCCACTGCGCCTTTTGGACAGTTATAGCACCCTTTTAATGGGGCATCCGCCACGATACAATTATGATTACTGATTTCTAAATGCGCGGCATCCATATTGGTGTGGAAGTTGATCACGATTTCCGAAGAAACCATTTGGGGTATTTTCGCGGTTAGTGGGGCTTCTTTTGGTTTGGATAGTTCCCAGTAAGCAGTTTTAATGGGTAATTTTTGCTGAATCTGATCAAATTCTTTGGCAATGTCGGGATCCTCGCATTCGCATATTACCTTAAATTCCGCGGGAGTGCAGACGCAGTTTTCCTTGAAGGTGCAGTTCAGCGCTTCCGCGTCCATTCGCGACGCACACTTAAGAGTCGGGGTTAGACTCTGGGTCAGAATGGCGGTATCGACTCCATCGGTGACAAATTCGCTATTTAGCTTTGGTATGGGAGGAAGTGTTAGCAATGTCATAGTCATGCGCAAGAAGGGAAGATCCAAGGGGACGTTGGGATAGGCTTCAAGAAGATAATGCGACGAGTTCTTTGTAGGAACCTCGTCGAATATTACTTCTAGCTGTGCCGCTTCTGTCCAGCGCATGCAGCGGAACACTTCAAAGACTTTTGGGTTACGTGGTCTGGCGAATATCCTATAGAACAGGCAACCTGAACTCAGGTAAAAGCAGTCACACCCGAATCCCCCACAAGACTCAAAGCATCTGGTCTTGCCCGGGTAAAGATTGCCTTCTGCTAGTTCAGGTAAAAGTGATGAGGTGTTTATACCTGCGCACTTCTGTTCTGTGCATGATCCCATAGTGGGGCATCTTTTGCTGTCAACGACTTCCAGACTGGTCGAACGTGTAAAGTACAAAGTTTCTTGCTCGCATCTCAGGTGTAGGTCTTTCCAATGGACCTTTAGGTTCGCTACCAGGGTCGAATTCGAAATCAGACGGAGGCATGCCTCATGCTTGAAACTGTTTAGTTTCAATACTTCTGAGAGCGTAATGGAGCATGGTTGGTTGGGGTTATTTCTTGCGCACTTAGTAGCCCGGTATTCGAGGATATCTAGCTCTTGACACGCGAGGGCTTTCAAATGACCCTGCGTCAAGAGTGCAATCGAGACGGCTAGCGCAAGGGTGAGACGTGCGGTGACTGACTGTTTCTTGCGCCTTCTCAATCGGCGTAGTATGCGTAGGCAGCTCTCTCCTATGCATGCCAGCGAATGCACTATGAAGGTACTTCAGGGAATTAAGGATAATCCGTATCGGTTTCCCGATGGTCATGGGTACATATAGTAGCACGTATAGAAATGCTACTATGAAATACAATATTACCCCAAGTGTAACAATTGCGCCGAGTGGCCAGCATTCCGGATTGAAAAGAACTGTGGCGCAAATTTTACAGTCTATGTTCTCGCAGAAGTCCATGGCCTTGCACACTGTTTGCATTACAGCCAGCTGTCCTCCCGTATTCCACTTGAGGAGTACTTCGTAATCATGTAATGTGATTTCTGGGGGAAATTTTACAGAATGAGGGCTAATAGAGAGGCGCTGAAATTTACACATTTGGTCAGCGCAGATTTCAAAATCTTGTGGCTGGTCTGAATATACGGTGATTCCTTTATCTCCGCAAGTGAGTCGCATAGAGTCTGTGGTGTTGCCTTTTATAGTCGGAATTAAAGAGATGATAAGCATTAGGTGGAAAAGGAACCAGTGGGGAGCAAGCTGCTGTGGTCTTGCTGTTGCAGTTGCTGTAATTGTCTCTTGCACATGCGAGATTGGTTTTCGGTTCCTTAAATTGTAAGGGTGGGTGCGCTCTACTGGATCTTGGTGACATTGAGGTGGGTCGGAGGCTATTGGTTTCGTAAGTGGAGGCGCATGATTTACCCGTGCTTCTTGGATCTCAAGAGGAATTAACAAGTTTATTGGGCGACGAATTTTCCTCTTTGTTCCAGTGATAAGTTCTACTTCGCGCACTTCTCCATCTGTGCTGCGCCTCGTATTTATTATACGTCCCATTTTCCATTCGTTTCTGGGGAGAATCGGATCTGAGACAAGAACAATGTCTCCGACTTCAGGATTTTCTTTTCCTAGTCGTCGGTTGGACACATGCTTTTTATGTGTTTCTCGCAAGGAAAGCAAATACTGTTGTTGCCATATATTCCAGAAACGGTCTGCTCTTGATCAGAGGAGCGCAGGGCATCTAATACCTGTTGTCGGTTATGAAATGACCGCGCATCTTGTGGAGGCAAGTAATCGGGGTCATCACTAACCGTGTCGGTTGCATCGGGAATTGTCAGTGTTAAGGTCATATTTCGGTGTATGAAATCTACTGGGCGAACTGTGCTCACTGTTTCTTGTGCAGCGCCTTGATATGTAAGTGGTCTCGAGTTAAGACTCGCTTCTACTTCCCAACAAAGGTTAACCATGTCATCAAATGGAGCGTTTGTTCGTCCCCTCAGTGCTTTATAGATCGCATGTTTAATGGACTTGATAAGGCGCTCATAGAACCCTCCTGCCACGGGGCATAGGGAGTTATGTTATTCCATTGAATTTCTTTATTGGCTATTTGGCGCCTTATTTCAGTATGAATGCCCGTTGCTTGCTGACTCAATATGCTTTGGGTGAGTAAAAAGGTTGGTGCGTTATCACATGTTATGGTATCTGGCTGTCCTCTGCGCGCAACGAATCTCCGGAGCGCATGTAAGAATTCGCTAGTGCTCATGCTCCGTAGGACTTCGAGATGAATTAGGCGCGTTACTGTACATGTGAAAATGCACCCATAAAGTTTAACCCTCTCTCCGTCCTCTGCGCAAGGAGGGAGGTCGAAGAAATCCAACCCTATATTTTGGAATGGGCGACACCTGATTACCCGTTGTTGGGGGAGGTCTGTTGTTTCTGGGTAGTGGTACGGCAGCGCATTAAATCTACGGCATTTAACGCAAGAGGTGATATATTTGCGAACTTGCTGGCGCAACTTTGGTATCCAATATTGCTCTCTTACGGTGCTCATCGTATGTTCGATACCTGAGTGGTACTCCCCATGTGCTTCTTTTATTATCAGCTGCGCCAGAGGTGTATTAGGAGCAACGAATAGTGGGCTTTTCGCATCCTCTCTTATTAATGCGTTTCCTAGTCTTCCCTTTGACCTCCAGAGTCGATTCTCATCTTCATACAGTCGCAAGGTGTTCTCCATGGACTTTTTGTAGTCATGGGATAAAAATACAGATTGATGGTTGCGAATAAGGATTAGGCGTGCTGCCCGTATTTCCGGTCCGGTTAGAATATCTGATGCCGGAAGAACTTCTTGGAGTTCGGGGATCTTGCCCAGGATTCTTTCTTTGACAGTGGTATCGAGTGGGCGCATCAGTTTTCTTATGAAACGTAAAACTTGCGCCATAACTCTTTTTGCCGTCAGAAGAGAGCTAAACCTGTCCCAACAGAGTAAATCTGAGGTTAGGGGGTGGCTCTGTACTAAACTAATAGTAGGGCAACCATCAGTTGTTGTAATCATGTCTGTCTCGCTTTCGTCCATGCTGAGGTGGTAAGTGGGGTTATCCCAGTACTTTTCTGGTTGTTTTAAAAAGGCTGGTCCAGTCCACCACGTGTGGTCAGCTAACTGCGCCTTGGAGAGTCCTCGTGTGCCCGCATCGGCGGGGTTTTGTGAGGTACTTACATAGGCGAATATAACATTCATTCGTAGTTGCTTCAGTTCAAGTACGATTTGACGAATCTCGCGCAGTCTATTCGTCACCAGCATTCCGAGACCACTACTCTTGGTTGAACGAAGCCAACTGAGTACGATCTGCGAGTCTGAGAACACATATATGGTCCAGGGATGTCCCATAGAGTGGGGCTTGATTGCTTGCGTCACAGAATAGGCTAACCGTGTCGCCAGTGTCAGCGCATTCATTTCCATCTTTGGTATTGTCGTTACGGTTTTTATGGATGGTAGCTTGCCTTTTGCCATGACCAGGG